TCAGGTGTTGGTGCATCTCTGGAGCTCTCACCCCAAATCCATCCCAGCTGGGCTTGGCTGCCCTGGCCTTCAGGCACTGCTCCGTCCCCTCATCCAGACAGGCAGCTGGAGCCTTTGATGTATGCAAGTAGAGGATTTGTAACAAAAAATCAGCATGAACCTGACTGATGTGAAGTAACTGTGTTTGTGGCCAGGTTGGATGAGGCTTTGAGCAACCTGGTCTAGTGGAAGGGGTCCCTGCTGCTGGCAGGGGGGGTGGGACTGGAGGAGCTTTAAGGGGCAGACTGGGCTTCTGGGATTTGGTTCCATGGTTTCTGAGATCTGGATTGGGTTAGGAATGAGGAGGGCCTTTTATTAATAAGGGTTAGACAGACTTTTCAAATGCATGTGAGCACACTAACTTGTTTTGGTGCTAACTCATAATGAACAAATGAATATGCTAAGAGATAAATGAGGGCTCTAAAGGCTCTTAACCAGCTTCATCATCTCAGGAATAATAAGGTAATGATTCTTGCATTGTGTACTGCCACAAACTAGAAACAAAGCATTAAGAAATACAAACCTACTGAATTGCAAGGAATTATCTAAGGAACAAAGATCCTCCAATCACTGCTGCTCTAAAATAACAAATACAGATAATAAATGTTTTTTAAACCTGCTACTTGCCTGCTAACTTTCCCTAATAATTTCACAAACTTGGACCTACATTATAATTCGTGTTCTACACCAGGAGAACAGTTGTGGGGAGGAAAAAATCCAAAAGCTTTCTGAATAATTTTTTCACCTGGTTTGGGAAGTCCCCAGTGTCAAAATTGTCTTTCTAAAAAAAAAAATAATAATAATTATGGTAAGCAGTTCAAATAAACATGCCTACACCACTAGATAGTTAATTAAATTAGTTTTAAAGGCAGGGGAAAACACAATTTAAATCCATCTTATATCATCTTTCATAATACTGTTATAAAAATACTTACTAAACTGATGTATCAGCTTAATATGATATAGTAAACTGATACACCAGTTTTATACACCATGATTACCCAATGGCTTGCTTTTAATAAAAAAAAATAGTGCATGGAAAATGCTTCATGCTTTTGGTTTATAGTGCTTGTTTCATCTCTTTCTTAACATACAAAAATCAAACAGTACCTAAACCCAGCATTTTCACAAATAGTGAATAATTGATACCTAAAATAAGGCGGGTAGACCCATTCCTAAAAACAACTGCTTTAAACAGCAGACATCACTGTTGGTTTTCAAGATATCCCTCTATCAAGCCTTGAACCCGAGAGAGAATGATCTCATTGGTGCTGCTGCACTCTTCCGGGCGGTACGGCGGGTCAATAGTCAATACCCCCGCCACGCACAGCGTTCTTCCTGCTTCCCCTTGCTCTGTTACAGGGATGTGGTTTGTTTCCAGCCAAGCCTTCAAGTTGTTCTTCCTCTTTTCAAGTTCCTCTGGGCTGTAGGTTTTACTTTCTTCAGGTGCAAATATGCGAGAAAGGCGCTGCTTCATTTCATCATCTCCTTCTTTCAGGATTTCAACCTCCTGGACAGCATGGCCAAAGACAATGGATATGGACACTTGTTCGTTCTCCAGGAATGTTGCAAGGATAATGCTGCCAAGGAAAGAAGGATGTGTGAGTCACTTAACCGAAGACTGAGAAACACAGGCCAAGGTTCTTGGACGTTACACGTCAGCGTAACCCAGGTATTTAGGCAATATCGAGTACCCAGCATTTTTCTTGAAAAGCACTCTGCTATAACCCTTAAAATACTGAAAATGAGAGGCTTGGGGGGTAAATTCTGGCCTTGAATTTGAAATTACTCTAGATATCATCAAGCAGAATGTTACTTTAAAAAAGCAAAGTGTACATTAAAACCAGGGCTGGAAATTTAAATACTTTTTGTGCTGTGCAGCATCCTCAACCTTGCTAAAGAGCCTTAAGGCTTCCAACGCCCAGAAACAATGATACTTTCACACACTCAGCACTCTGAATGCTGAAGGCAACGGTAGCAGCTAACATCAAAACCTTTTAATGGCAAATTATTAATATTTAATTATTGATCATTACTATTTTTTTTTTTAATGACTGCTGCTAGTTTCTTAACTGAAAACTAAAGCTTGAGGATTACAATGGGAACACACCACAGCAGGTTCAGCTCACGTTGTAGCAACCCGGTCTTTTCCCAAGGGCACGTACACCCAGAAGTCCTAAAATACATGTAGGAAGGCAGCTTGTTTTGTTTCTAGGATCAATTTCCCATATAGCAACAAAATGGATCAGAAACCATTTTCTTCCTCTTGTGGGAAGGAAAATTCCAGAATTTGATCCCAGCACTTTGCTAATCTACATTAGTGGAAGTAATGACTTTTTTTGGAAACATGCAATGAAATATGCCTTGAATTTAGGCTGGGCCATCCCCAGAATCACTCACAGCTGTGTGCATCTTTCTTAACCAAAATGATAAGCAACTCCATGAGAAGATTAGAGTTTCGGAGCTACTCCAGAGTCAAAGCAACAACCAATTCTTCTGAAACCTGTCAGAAGCTGGATGTTTTTATTTCTAGCCTCCATCTTGTGGTCAAGCGAGACAAGCTCACTACCAAAAAGGTATGAAAAAGCTCTAGCAGCAAGGAGCCAAATTTCTGCCTATCCTCTGGTGCATTTTGCCTCTCAAACCTTGTTTTCAAGTTACTCACTTGAGCTACTAGAGACCTGTGAACTTCCTGTCCAGTGCCCTCGCTGATTTTCCCTGTTTCCTCTCACGGCTGGAGGGGAAAGCAGGGTATGGATGTGAGAACTCTGGACAGATGATAAGGATTTCAGCACCTAAAGCATTAAAAACATTCCTGCACTCTTTGTGAAGTGGGGCTTGATATATTATTAAAAGTAGTCCTAAACACGTGGATATCATGCAAAAAATACTAACTTCAGGTCCACAATAAAGTCAGCATGAATCCAGATATTATCCATCCCCCAAACTTAGCAGTCCTGTGAATTCAAGTGGATTTAGGTGAACTGGCCTCATCAGCTACAACAGTGCTTTCTCTTAGGCCTTGCCAATTGAAAAAACAGGACACATAGCCCCAACACGCAGTTTCTGCTTCAGTCTTGGCATCTTTTCCTGAAAAACTTGTTTTTCTCTTAGCTTTACAGAAACAAAAGCTTTGGTACTTACCTGGCAGAAATTGGATCAACTGTTATAACCCATCCTTCATACTCGTGTTTCTCAACTGCAGCGACTTTCACCATTTTGTTCACATACTTTTCCCAGTCGAGAGGGCTTTTCCTCTGCCAGTCATTCATATTTCCTACATCCGGAACCTAGAAAACAGCCACAGCAATTAGCAGAAGCCATGAATCCTCTTGCTTTGCCCTTCACATCAGAACTAAGTTTGCCTCCAGGGAAAGATCTTCCATTAGTCTTCAGTGCAATTTGCTTTTTTAAAAATCAAACGTTCAGGCAACTGGTTTGCATATTCCAGCAGTTCTGTATTTTCCTGACTGGTTCACTTGTTTTTAAAGGCATGGAGCGAAGTGTCAAAAATCACTGGTCTGTTAACTTAATACTTCCCCATTGCATTAAACATTCTAGTTATTGCTCTGCCCTCTTAAAAAACCGTTTAGATCCCTGTTCCTGGAGAGCAGAGGTTTGCCACCTCTGTGTACTGGCACATCCCTTGTGTCCAAGCCCTTCCACTGCCAGTGGATCAGCGGTACCCACCCAGATCCCAGCTCTATCCTCATCCCCGACTGCAGGGTGAGCAGCAACCACTGTGTTCTGCTCTTTCCCCCTCACCCCGTACCAGTTGCACTACTGGTAATGAGAGCCAAGCCACCCCCATCTCAGCTGAGGGCTTCACACAATCTTTTGTCTCCATCCCAGTGTCCCTCCATGAAAGGGCAGGGAGGACAAAGGGCTTGGAGGACCCTCCCTCCTTTGTCCACTCCATGCCTGCCTGCTCCCGGCTGAAGCAGCATGAAACGTGAGGCTCCTTGAGGCAGGGAAATGCTCAGATCTGGGGTGTTTTATAAATATGGGTGTGCATATAAATTCTATATAGGTTTATATAAATTGAGGCCAGATTGCAAACCAAGGAGGTGGTGTCTGTAGCCCTTCAATCCACGCTGTGTTCTGCCTTCTGCCTCAGTTAAGCTGGGTTTGCCAGTGCTCCTGCTAGAGCTGGGAGATTGCTAACGAGTACGCAAAATCACAGCTCAAACTTCTTCGAGCAATCTGTGTGCATTAATAGGTATTTATTTATATATATCCACACATGCTGTGTGGATCTGCTCCATAAAAATAAGCTAATTTTGCTCCCTGGTTTTGAGTTGTCTTCACAAAAGCTTTCCTGTACAGCAGTGGAGGTGAGAAACTTTATATCCCCTCCCACCCCACCCCAAAAGCTGCTCTATTTTAACACTAGAAATCAAAGGCTTTCTATAAGTGAAGCAAACAAGCTGCCATCATTGCAGTGATTTAAGTAAAGCAAGCATCCCTTGGAAGTGCTGAAAGCCAGGCTGGATGAGGCTTTGAGCAACCTGGTCTAGTGGAAGGTGTCCCTGCTGCTGGCAGGGTGGTTGGAACTGGATGAGCTTTAAGGTCCCTTCCAACCCAAACCATTCTATGATTCTGTGATTTAGTGAGCACAACAGAAAAAAAATACCGAGGGTATAAAATGAGACAGGCTTATTTTGCAGGCTTAAAGAGGGAATTTCCTTTTCTTTTTTTTTTTTTTTTAATGAAGTTTCAATTCAAGTCCACAGCGCTATTTCTGAACAGTTTATGCCCCTGTATTAGGCTACTGTGTTCTTTCAGAGTTACAATCTGTTTATTAGAAAGCAGGGATTAGGAAATTAATTATTTTCACTATAAGAGCAAGCAACACAATGGGAAACCTTAACTTCTGTTTGAAAGGAAAGTGGTGGATAGAGGGACTGTGGTTTTTATGTATTTATATGCATATTTTAGTTGTTTAAATAGCTTCCTAACGGATCCCCTTCTAGATCACACACTGGAGGGCGGTTTATTCCAAGTCCCTTTTGAGTAAAATACTCCAAACTTCTTTTAAATTCTTGCTACTCTCAGTCCCTACTGATACGTTTTTCCCCATTGTTGCCAGTGTAATTATTTAATTGTTCTGAGCTGCGAAACAGTGAATTATTTTTGTATCCTGTCATCTCAGCCATATTTCACAGACACAGGTCACTACCGTGGGCAGTGAGTACAGCTCTCCCACGGTAAATGGAACCACAGTGAGGGTCACTGAGAGGTGTAACCCCCCCAACGCCAGTGTCCATACTCCTGGAAGCTCCTGGCGCAGATCACGTCCCCAACACGCCACTGGGGACACAAAAG